AATAAATGTAGCACTTATGTGTTTATGTACACAAGGGTGTAGCTAAAATTTGAAAGTGCAAGTAGTTATGCAACACAGTGTTAAGATATTCAGAATGTGCAAATATTAAAACTGTTTATGTTGTATGAAGTTGTGTTATGTTGTATATAAAAGTTCACAGTTGCAAATTTACAGGTCAGGTTATTGATAGACAATCACAGTTCGACAGTCAGTGATTCAGTAGCCTGATGGCCTGTGGGTTGTCCTGACTTTCACACTCCTGTAGCGTCTGCCAGGTGGCAGGAGTGTGAACAGTGTGTGCTGTGGGTGGGTCCCTGTCCTGAGTGGGGCTGTTCTCGTACCACACTGATGGAGTTTGTCAGGATACTCTCAACTGTGAGAAGTTTGGAGGTTAATCCTAATTTTCTCAGCTTCCTCAGGAAGAAGAGTCGTTGTTGAGCCTTCTTGATGATTTGCTGTGGTTATGGGTCCAGGTGAGATCCTCACTGATGTGGGTGCAGAGGAATTTGAAGGTCTTCACCCTCTGCACAGGACGTTTTAGTGCACAGGCATCAGACACAGAAAAGAGGAACTGAGAAGGAGTTTGTTTGTAATGGAACTGTGTGTGATGTGTGAAGTACAGAAATAACACCATATAAGACACATGTTGAGCGTCAAATGTTAGAGATCCTGCAACTGGTGTTTTGGGCTGTGCAGGTCTCTTTCTTCCGGAAGATGATTGAATAAAATAAATATAAATGTTTTAACACACTGAGTCGGTTTTCTCTGTTCTATCACGGGGACAAAAGAATCGGGGTTAATAATACATAGTGGGGCGTGCTGGTCTCTCCTCATCCTCGGGTCAACAATCACCTCCTTAGTCCTCTCAACATTTAAGGACAGATTTTCCAGCTGAGCCACCTCTTCACTGCAGGCCGTCTCCTCTCCAACAGCTATCAGCCTAACAATGGTTGTGTTGTCAGAAAACCTAATGATGGAGGTGTTGCTCTGGGAGGGGATGCAGTCATAGGTGAAGAGGGTGTACAGGGGTGGACTGAGCACACAGCCTTGGGGGGTCCCAGCCTTGGGGGGTCCCTGGGCTCACTATCTTTGTATGTGAGGTACCAACTCTGACTGCCTGTGAGGTGCTTTTCCACCAGTCTGTTTGGGATGACGGTGTTGAATGCTGAGCTGTCGTCTATAAACAGCATTCAAACATAGGTGTCCT